GGGGCGATATGCTGACTCTGTAAACCGCTTAGAGAGGGCTGAAAGCCCTTTGAAGCGGTATATAAGTCTAACTGCTATTGCTATTGCTATTTTAATTAGAACTTTTACCAATCCAGATATCCTGAAAACATTTTTTTAACAGAGTTCAATAGTTAGTGATTACAAACTGGGAATATCCCGGTTCAATGCGCAGAAATCCTACCTCTCTCTGAGTGACCGTTTCCATGATGGTCCCAAACGCAGGAATTGTGGCTATTCTGACAGAGCTAGGAGCAAAACAAAGCAAAACAAATACTCAGCTCTTAACAGTAAAACAAATGTTTAATTAAAAACAGAATACTAATTTTGAAACTCCATTAAGGTATTAACTGCTAGCAGTGACAGGAATTAGCCCAGGAAGTAGTATCACAATTTAAAAAAAGAAGAGAGAGAAAAAGACACAGAAAGATGAACTCAAGGTCACATTCAGAAACTCACAATTCAGGATCACTGGACAAGGTAACAAGGGCCGGAGCAACCCGCTTGTCAACTAAGGCTTCACGCATGCCTCGAAGAGTCAGCTGTAAACCAGTCAACATGCAATAAAAATGGTTTTAAACTGGAAGGATAACTAAGTTAGTTGTGACTGAGGATGGGCAGGCAGAATCACCAGTCTTTCTAAGTTTAGTCACCCACACGGGGCATTAAAATAAGTAAGGAGTCTCCTCATGCTTTTTACAGGCAGTAACGTTATTAGTGAAATTAGCATCCCTCTTCAGCATGGAAGAAACAAACAGCAGTATGACAACACCTGAAAACTATTCAGACGTGTTATTATTTACTATAAAAAGTTATGATAGTTTTGTTTCAGAATTAAGTTTAAGGTTGCATTATTCTTCCAACTATTTTACTAGTTAGTGTTTTGAACGAGCTTGAGCTTGTTTGTAAGAACAAAGTACTTACTCTTTTAGTTGCTAAAGATATTGAGTATATTTAATACTTAGTGATTTATTTATTTTTTTAAAAATTGAATATTAGCAAATGCATTCTGGAGGTTTATTTCTTGACAAGTTGTAAGAGGGAGCTAGTTGTAGAAGACAGTTGGGGAAACTTACATTTCAGGGTCACTGGAGAGAGTGATGAGAGCAGGAACCACTCTCTGAGCTACCAGAGTTTCATGTACCCCCTTCACCAACAGCTGAGTGGGCAGAGCAGAGGGGTACATCACAGGTGATGCGCGGAAAGAGTGAGCACAGTATCATGGGAAGAACAGCGTAACCAAGAGGAAGAGAAACACAAAATGCAAACCAAAATTAGAAGCAAGTATCACTACGCTAAAGTGCTCTTTTAATATAACTAGGCAGAAGGCAGGATAGAAGCGTTAAGTGGCCCAAGCAGGCAACACACACCAACTACAGAGCTGTTAGACAACAAAAGATCCCGACAGTATCCTGAATGCTAATGTTTAAATTTCAAAGTAACGTTTGAAGTTTCTAGAGCTCCATTATGGCTACCTTGTTATAGCTCCACAAAAGAAACCAGGTTATTGTGAAATGTAGGAATGTGAACAGATAACTAAGAACTCCAAACACTTCTTGTGATTTGTGAGCGTGAACTGGGCTCTATTGTCACTATTAAAAGATAATAATGGGACCTGGGTACTTGAGAGACCGCCTCCTGCCAATTACCTCCCTACGACCAATTAGATCCCACAGATTAGGCCTCCTCCGGATTCCATCAACTAGCCAGTGTCGACTGTCGCCCCGCCAGAGGAGGGCCTTCTCTGTGGCTGCTCCGGCCCTCTGGAACGAACTCCCCGTGGAGATCTGGACCCTCAACACCCTTCCGGCTTCCTGCAAAGCCACCAAGACCTGGTTGTTCCGAAAGGGAAAGGCAGAAGAAGGGGGGAAGGTTAAAAAGGAGGAAGAGAAAGGAGAGAAGGGAAGGGAGAGGT